GTGTAAGCAGGAAAATCCAACAAGAACCAGAAGGAACTGGAGTTGCTCGGTAGTTACCTAGGATCCAGAGGGCCAGAGGGGCGATGAAATTCAATATGCGTCATATGGCATACCTCAAGGCCATAGGGTCACCAAGCTGGAACTCCATCTTGAAATAGAGTATTTTTGTTTGTAACAATGGGATACAATGGGCAGGCAAATACATCTCCTGCTCCCAGCAAGACATACAGACGGGTCCGCAAGGAGGATCCTGACAACTGCAGGTGGCATAGCATTCTACACTTTACACCCGGATTCGTCTACTTCTGTGCAACTTAGAGACCTACTCAAATACCAGACACGAGCTGAACTATTCCTAAGAGAAGCACGTCTCAATCAGGCTAACCCTAGGACCTTTGGCGAATAAATATTCATAACCCGGCACTCGATCCACCGTCTGCCCAAAAACGAATATTATGTTGCCTACTCTTACCTGCTGTGTGTAATTCTACCGGCGATTCCGTTACGACCTTGCTGCACAAAACAGCATATTGAAAGATACAAACGCCTAGCTTTGGCATGCGTTGTTCTGAACAAGAGTCTAACACAAAGCTTTCCTCCCCCGATCTCATCCGCTCGCGCATGCTTTGCCCGGTGGCACAAACCACTCTCTAAGCTTGCTCACGGCTCGAAGAACAAGCTGAAATACGGGCCACGGATGGATCGAATAGGCTTTGCCAGACTAGTCCCAGCATGACAACAAGTGCATAAGTGCATAAGTTTCACGACTGGTCTCATACGTGCCTGACATTGCGAATCCATCTGGGCCAGTCGATGACATCCGGGAATCCGAAACCAGCGGCAAAGATCTGCTCGAAACAGCTAGCGGGTCCGAGAGCAAGGTCCTTGTGGATGGGGTTGTCAGAGGAACTACGAGCCCCTTGTCAGGGGACCTTATGTAAGGACTTTAGTATAATGAGTATAGTTCCTTTACACCATGAGGCTACTGAGGCTACCATGTTCAGGAAATTGAAGAACAAGATCTGCACAAACAAACCAGCTCTGAGAAGGCACAGTCGGCGCAAGAATTGACATCAAGGATTGTGTCATGAATTACGTCATTAAATGCACATAAACCGCAATCAGTGATGGCAAGCATACGGCATACAAGTCACAGTCAAGCCCTGCCCAGCAACATGCGGCTTGGCAAAACTTCAAAGCCGCAGAGCGAGCAAACACAAACCTCGCACAGGAGCGCCAACTTCTCTGCCCACGATCCAGCATTGCAGGCAGTTTATATGATTGTACCCAACCACATTCACATGCAATCAGGAAGCCCAGCATATTGACAGAAAACCTCTACCAGCAGCATAACACTGAGACAGCAGCATAACGCTGAGAAGCAGGGTCACCGGTCCAAGGCTTTCGGGCCTACAGTAGTGAGGACTGCTCCGCTCGGACTCCACATGCGCCATGCTGGTCTAAGTCGAGTATCTTCTAGGAACAGATTAAAGGCCTAGCCGCCGGGCGGGACACGGTGCAGCAAGTTCTCGGCACAAGTCGTCCATCTAAAAATGTTACATAGTCATAGCCTCTTCGACAACTGTTTGTATCTTGGTTGCCACCACTCTCTTTCCGAATTGCGGAAAGCCGCAGGCGGGGAGGAGTGAAGGTTCCTGTCAAGCCTTCACGAAGGTAGGCTTGCAGGGTCGCAAGACCTCGCAGTACTTGCGCAATCAACACGCAAAGTCTTGTCGAGACTGCACCAACTGTTTCCTAGTTAGTGCTAGGGTGAGACAGGTGCAAACTCTGCGGAGAGAACCGCATCACTGAAAATGGAACTGCCGGGTGCCGATTACTTGGATGGCCCACCTTTCAACTTGACGGTGAGAACATAACGGTTTCGCATGGTTTGGTGACACGCCGCCGTACTTGCCATAAACCTCCTCGTTCGCCAAGTGCAGCAAAGCAAGCAACTAACTAACGAACCAACTGATTAACTAGCTGACTAGTTGGCTAAGTCATGAGCTCGGACTGCAGGTTTTAGCTGAGATCCTGATATGAAGCATGACCCATTCACATTGTAGCTCGCGTGAAGGCAATCTGAAGCCTCTAATGCTAGTCTTCTGGGTTGCTCTTGCCTAGGTCCGGGCCAAACCCATGGTAGTCACCAAAACTCTCAATTCAGGCTGTTTGCCAAGCATGCCGCAAAAAAGAAAGTTCAACTAAAAATCGAACAGTCGGCAAGTGTGTGTTGGCCTTCGTTGTTTCGCACACCCGGTGTGAAGCAAGTCACTGGTGGCCACCGGGACCAGTGGCCAACAGCAGCACTCACTGGCGCAAACCTCATTCTGAGTTGTGGGGGAGCAGGTTGCACGTTGGACTGCACTAACTTCGTGCAGGAGAGAATTATGAATACAGAGATCCACAGTGCAAAGCAGCACGAAAGCGAAAAGCTTCACTGAGACTCTGAGAACGACCACTGAGATCCGAGCAGAAATCAGAAAGGATCTGAAAGCGCCTACCGTTCTGCTGGCGCAGGGTAGATGTTCTTGTCCTGGCGATCAGGCATTGCACATCCGACAAGCACCGGCAGTCGCTAGAGCAGCTGTGTTGGCCGATCAGAATAGTCTACAACAACAGCTGTACAGCAGCTGGCAGCAACCTCAGCAACGGTAACTTTGCAACTGAACTACTAAGATCCGAAACATCGGTAAACAAAAACAAGTTGGTACGCGAAGCTACCAGCAAGCTCGGTTACGTCAACGCATCAAGCTGAAAACGTAAGTGATAGTCAGCAGGCTGCAATACCGTACTCAAATCATCTGGAGCACCAGCACCAGCAGCAAAAGAGTTGCTGCAGTACTCGTAGCAACCTTCGTCGTCAGTAGCAATCTAAAGCACTGGGCGCCATCAGTGCAAACAGTAGCAGCAGTCGCAGTGACAGTCGCAGTAGGATCGTCTTATGAAGCCTCGACATCGACTTGTCGAGTTTGCAGACTCGAGCTTCGGATTTTGGACTTGCTTTTTGGATGGGGTTGGGGGAGAGGGGAGGATGATGACGACATTGTTACGCAAACATGCCGAACAATATTTCCAGACGAGTCAGTTTACTTGGAATTCACAATACTTTCGTGATGTCGGGCCATTTTATATAGTCACCAAACATACTCCCGGACTTTGCAAACTCGACCTCGGAATTTCGGAGGGCTTTCGGCCTGCGGCAAAAACTCGAAATTGGGTGGAGGGAAAACTTTTTCGGGGATGATCACGACATTGTTTCGCGGACACCCCGAACAATATCTCCACACCCGAGCGTGCACACAGCACACACCACTTCAAAAGCAACCCTCCTACGCCGAGGTCTGGGCTTTAGGGGTGTTGGCGAGCCCCTCCCACGTACAGCTGGCGCATCTCAGTTTTTTTATGTTTAGAAGATGTTGCGCTTCAGGTTTTAGGACAATTTCGACGCTGACACTCGCACAAAGGATTGTTGAACCATCTTTACACCGTATTTACAGCGTTCTCGTACTATCCGTCCACCTGTGGTTTAGCAGTTCTTCCCCGTCGAATTTGCATCTCCAGCTGCTGTCGCAGTTTCGGGGCCTGAGCCTCTGCAACGTCACCGGCTGTGGCAGTTAAGGAAAGTAAGCCTCCGAAAGTTCTGCGGCTGTCACAGATCGGGAGTCTGAGCCCCTCATCTTTTGCGACTGTCGCAGTTAGGGAGCCTAGAAGCTGCCACTGCCCAGCCCGGATGAAGCAAGTAGTAGTAGTAGTCGTCGTCGTCGTACCAGTCCTAATACTGAAACCATTTCTAGAACGGGGGCTAGTACGGGTACTAGCACGACTAGTGACTAGTACTAGCAGCTGAAGTTGCAGTTGCGGTGGTAGTAGTAGTCGTCGTAGTAGTAGTAGTAGTAGTAGCAGCAGCAGTGGAAGGGAAGCAAGTAGTAGCGGCAGAAGTAGTAGTAGCAGAAGCAGCAGTAGTAGAAGTAGCAGTAGCGGTAGTGTGTAGCTGACGAGAAAGGGAGCATGGGCCGTGGCAGAGGATGGCAGAGGCATCGGTAGTAGCAGTGCTGGTAGCAGTAGCAGTAGCAGCAGCAGCAGTGGTAGTAGTAGTGGTAGTATGTAGTATGTAATAAATGTAGTACATGTAGCAACTGTGATAAATGTAGTGAAGGTATCCGCCGAGGCCACAGGCCCAGGCGTCTTGAGGATTGCCTCCACCTAACCCTCCTCCCTGCAGTCCGAGACTTTGGAGACACCCTGTTTTTGCGTTCGTTTGCCACCCTTGCCCGGCTCCCTTCATTTTTACCTGATTTGTAATTAGGTCTCCCCCCCCCCCTCCCTCCCCCCCCTCCCCCTCCCCCCTCCCCCTCCGCCCCCTCCCCCCCCTCCCCCCCCTCTCCCAAAGGAGTGAGGTCCCGCACTGGACACCCAACCGTTTAAAGGTTGGGGTTGAGAGGCCCCCCTAGCATGGTGTATACGACATCCACTGCCCCCTCGCCCTGCCGCTAAAAGAGCCGAGGCGGGCGGCGTAGCGTTAAAATTAAATGTCGTCAATGTAGTCAATGTGTAGTATTTGTAGTAGTTGTCGTGCTAGTAGTCGCCGTAGTAGTAGTAGTAGTCGTAGTAGTAGTAGTAGTAGTAGTAGTAGTAGTAGTAGTAGTAGTAGTAGCAGTAGCAGTAGCAGTAGCAGTAGCAGTAGCAGTAGCAGTAGCAGTAGCAGTAGCAGTAGCAGTAGTAGTAGTAGTAGTAGTAGTAGTAGTAGTAGTAGTAGTAGTTGTAATAGTAGTAGTAGTAGTAGCAGCATTGGTACGTGTAGTAGTCGTCGTCATTTTGAATGGGGTATGCAGGATGTGTAGTATGTGTAGTATGTGGGAGTATGTAGTATGTGTAGTAGTTGTTGTAACAGAAGCTGCGGTGGTGGTAGTAGTAGTAGTAGTAGTACGAGTAAGAGTCGGAGTCGTAGTAGTAGAGTATGTGTAGTAGTTGTAGTAGTTAGTGGTAGTAGTACTAGTAATGGTAGTAGTCGCAGAACCAACACCAGAGGGTAGTAGTAGCAGCAGCAGTAGTAGTAGTGGCAAGTAGTGGGATGTAAGTAATAAGGAGTAGTAAGTAATAGCAAGTAGTAGTAAGTAGTAAGTAGTAGTAAGTAATAGTAAGTAGTAGTAAATAGTAGTGAGTAGTAGTGAGTAGTAGTTAGTAGTCGTCAGTACTTGTGAGTGGTCGTAAGTCGTAGTCAGTAGTAGTAGGTAGCAGTAGGTAGTAGCAGGTAGTAGTAGTCGTCGTAGTAGTAGTGCTAGTAGTAGTGCGAGTAATAGTGCAAGTAGCAGCAGCAGCAGCAGCAGCAGCAGCAGCAGGAGTAGTAGTAGTAGTAGTAGTAGTAGTAGTAGTAGTAGTAGTAGTAGTAGTAGTAGTGATAGTAGTAGTAGTAGTAGTAGTAGTAGTAGTAGTAGTAGAAAGGGTCGTAGTAGTGGTAGTAGGAGCAGTGGTGTGGTCGTTTTGGTGGTGGTGGTACAGGTAGTGGTGGTGGTGGTAGGGGTAGGGGCAGTGGAGGCGGAAGTGGTAGTGGCAGTGGTACCGGTGGTAGGAATAATAGCAGCAATAACGGCACGGCAGGTCACGAGGGCAGGCAGCAGAAGCTGCTGACGTGGCATGCATTGGCAAACGCAGTGCGCGACGGCGCTCTGTAAAAGAAGGAAATTTGGATGCTCGCAAGCTGTGACAAAACATGACAACAAGTGCACTGCGCCTCCAACACTTTGAACGTTCGCTTCTTGGGCAAAGCCTGGCATGCTTCGCCAGCTTGAACCTCCTACGCTCTTGCCGAAGGCAAAGCTAGGATCATCCAAGTGTCAGAATGCAGCCTAAGAAGGAAGCCAAAATCACATCGGCAGGCTTGGATTGATTCGCTGCAATCTGAAGGATCACTGCCCCAACAAAAACTTGGCCGCAGCTGCGCTTAAGTTGGTCCACGGGATTTCCTTGGCTTCCGGATGCAGCAGGGGAACATGCAAGCCTATGACTAAGAAGATCAACACGGCAGTAGATAAGAATTTGCTGCGGCTAGGGCGGATGTCTACGGGATTTGGAGCAATGTTTGCCCTTTCGAGAAGTCTCCAAATGAAAAAAGAGGCTGCCTCCCCTCGAATAGACCGAACCCAATGACTTCGTCCGGTCAGGAACGCCAACTTGCCAATGCAGCTCAGCATCTACCGGGGGCTGAAATCCTGGAGAAGACCGTCGGCGACATTTCCGAAACGCTTTCGTACAGTATGGGGGCTCCTCTGTGCCTCTCGACTATATGAGGTTGAAGATGTTTCATCGCAGTGTCATTACCATCTTCACTACAGGCTTTTCAGAAGGATTTTCAGCATACATGTGGCAACTCATAGCTACCCTAACGGAGCCACGCAAGGAAGTCTGCTGCCCAAAGATGGATATCGAGACGTCGTGGTAGTCAGAACCCCAAGTCCAATGAGCGGAGCCCGGTGTACATGCATACTGCTGCCAGTGCAAACACCCCAATGAGCCCCAGGGCCACTCCTTCGGAGCCCTCTGTCCGACTCGACCTCGCACTGAATCCGACTTCGGTGCTTGGATTTGCTTTTAGAAGCTACTAGTATGCCATATGCTTCTCCCTCTCTCGCTGGGGTCCCAGGGTCCCAGGGAGCCATCAGATCTGCTTCTGTCGTCTTTTCGCCTCACGTTCTCCAAGGCACATGAGACCCACATTGGAAAAAACTCAACCTCCGAAGTCAGACCGCTCACTGTTTTTGATGATGCGCCACCCTGTCCTGCCCCCTTCGCTTTTCTGTTCCAGCGAGTTTCTGAAAGGGTTGCCGAAAACAAGCTGGGGGTGCTGAAACGATGGGAGCGACGGAAAACCGGACGATGTTGCGGGCTTGTTGTCGAGCTGTCCTGTTACTGAAACACCGGTTTCTCTGGTTCTTGCGTCACGATGTTTTGTCCTTCACTGGCTCATAGTTACTCATAGTTTGCCAAGATGACGTCGACAGCTACAGCTCCGTCCGGCCATTGCAACATGCAACGACCACAAAAGCAGGCGTGAACATCGAGCATCATGAACATCACCACAATCACCAGTCACCGTCCTGCAGCTGACACGGCAGGCTAAGTCTGTTTGGTGGTTCCTTTTGTGTCTCTTCTGTTGCTGATGTCGTTCCTGTCATCTCCTCCTACCCTTCTCTCTCGTATTCATTGTGTCTGGCCAGAAACACTTCCAAATAGCATCAACACTGAAAGAGCTCCAACACTGAAAGTGCTACCAGTACCACCTTGTGCCGCTATTTAGCATCAGCACTGAATCTACCGTGTTGCTCGTGTTGCGAAATGTCTATCACCACTGTGGAGGGCACTTTCGACTATGGCTGCGCGGACTACAGGTGTAAAACATACTGATATTACTCGCAGAACTGCAGCGTCGATGCCCTTGCATTGCTCATGCTCTACAAGCAACTGCAGCCTCAATGCCAGCAATTGCCTGTGTGAGTGCTGAGCGCACTGTCACTCGGTATTTGCTTGCTCAAGTGTTCACCTCTGCAGCTCTTGCCAGTACTTCTGAGAGTTCACTCGGCTTATCTCGGCTTCAGCAGAGAAGCTAACAATCCACCGCTTGTCACCGCGAATACTTTCTTGCACGACAGCTATGCTTGGGGTCTTGGAGTTTAGATGCTGTTGCTATAGTCGGTCTGTGATGCCTTTCTACGTCTTCTTCACCGATGCACAACTAACTGACGACTATTCGGAGCAGCCTGTCAAACCCCACAGCCAGTGCAATCAACGGGCTCGTCGATCGGTGCCGTCCGATGGCTCGAGTCGCTATCGGGGCCACTGCCGAGAACACCTGGGCAACAATGACCCTGTGAATCACGGCAAGCGCAAGACATGCCGAAAGTTGGACTCCAAGCAAGCGAAAAGCTTGCTTGCACAAGGCTGGGTAAATCCATGCAGAATTCGCCAAGCATTCCAAAGGCATTGAATTGGAACCATGCGCTGCAAAATGACAAAGCCCAAGCTTAACTCTGCCATGCCAGTCTGACCCTGACCTGAGGGCAGCCGTGATCACAGCTTCATGTGAATTGCGCAGATAATGGACATTATGTAGGACAATATAGCCAGATAGGGACCTTGTCAACGTGTGAACTACAGCTTCGGTGTAGCCTTGCCCACGCACGGCCAGCGTACAACAACATCTGGTTTGGATGCGGTCCAAAGCAGCAACAGAAGAAGATTGCAGTAGTGGTTTATGATGCCATGCGAAGCAATACTAGAAGTTTTGACCGCTTTCCGTGCAGAGAGCGGACAGTAGTCGTCTCCGTACTTGCAGTCACCGGCGATGGCACAGCGGCCATGATCGTGTTAGCAGCAGCCGTAGCAGCAGAGAGATGCAGAGGCAGGCGTGGAATGCCTAGTATTGCAAAGATAGGAGCAACAACAGCAGCAGCATCAGCTGTAATAATAGCACTCGCGGACGTAACAGCAGTTGAAGCAGCTAAGATGCCATCCGCACAGACATCAATTCATTTCTGCAGACACACAGTGAGCGTAATTACCGTTTCGTGCATCCTATCTATCTATCGGCTCTTTCATTCCATGCTTGCTGGCTTCTAACTCGCAGCCGTATCATACTGCCACAACTCTCAAGGTCCGCATCAATCCGAACCAGGTGCCCTGCAGTGCGAAGCCCAGCGCACATCTTACAACTCCAACCCTCCAACAGGCAAGGCACAGCCCCGCACGCCATGCGAACTGCTGCTGCTACCACTGGTGGATCCGTTGCCCTTGGCAGGGCTGCTGTGCTGCTATGGTGTTTGGAGTGCTTCCTGTTGGTGCAACATTGCAGGCTCAAGGAGCATCCTGGATGACAAGCTAGTTGTTGCAGCTACTTGACTCTGCGGTGCTGCTAAAGATAAGCAAGGCTGACGCCAACATTCGATATGCTTGTGAAAATCTGGTTCTGCTAACACTGGGTTGTTGTGCAGAAGCCTAATACTGCTTTTGCATGAATGCGGGAACATGCGGGAATGCGTTTTTGATCCGTTTTGGATCCGTTTGGGGATCCGTTTTGGCCCCAGCCCCCCGGAAGGACCCCAAACCGGCCTTGCAAACGGATCTCCAAACGGATCCGAAACGGATCGAAACGGATCCAAAACGGATCCGAAACGGATCAAACATGCATCCCTCTCGAGGGAAACGTGGGTTCGGGGATCCGCCGCAGGACTTCTTGGGGGTCCGTTGGGGGGTCCGTCGCGGGATCCGTTTGCCGGGCCGGCGGGGCTGGGGGCCGGCTGGGTTGGATCCCAGACGCATCCCACAACGGATCCGAAACGGATCGAAAACGGATCCAAAACGGATCCAAAACTGATCGAAAACGGATCCAAAACGGATCCGAAACGGATTCAGAACGGATCCCCAAACGGATCTGAATCGCACGTTTGGGAAATAGCATTTCCAGAGTTAGCAGGCAGCAGATTTTCACAACGATATGCTCTAATCGGCACCAATCACCTTCGAAAGCACAAGCCTGAGATAATGGAAACTCCAAGACCATATGTCTTGATGCCACGACACTGCCGCACTTGTAAAGCTCGCAAGCCAGTGAAACTGAAAACTACAGTGACGCCCTAGCGACCTTAATCACGACTTACTGCGCAGGGTTTACCGCACTCATGCAGCTGGAGCTTCTGAATTAAATTAGCCTGCCAGATGATCTCGCTCCTGTAGAGACCTTGCTTGAGGTACTTCTCAAATAGTATCGGTGTCCCATCTTATGCATCTATGCTAGCGACTATGCGCACACCTCTTCGAAGTAACAAGTGCTCGGTGTCGCAGAATCCTGCATGGTGCGGCACAGCGGCCGAGATGAGAAAGTTGACGACGCTAAATCTTTATCACTGCGAATGCTAAGGAAACTGGCCCGAACAGAGGCTCAATCATAATAAGCCACACAGACTGACAGCAGAAGTCGAAGAAAATCCAACAGAGAGCAGGAAACTGAAGCCATGCATCAAGGCGAACACTTGTACTCATTGCTGTAAGCGTGTTGGCAAGTCACGCACATCAATGAACAAGGCAGTGCGCGGTTGTGCCTTTGGCAAGGTCTTAGACTTGATATTGGAGCACGGCTCCGCAAGAACAGCCAAGGTGTTAACACAATTCCAAAATGTTCCGAACAATGTCCCACAGTCTAGGCCTGGGCCTTGAGGCAAGGCCCATCAGCTGCAAGAAAAGGCAGCCTTACAACTGTTATATCCATCAGTTGGCGTCTGGACCTGTTGGGTTGCAGAATAGCCCCGAGCTGTGCAGCCGAAGGGCAACAATGGGAGTCTCGGAATTCCGATTCTCGGACCTGAGTTGGGATTAAGGACTGCCTTCTGACGTTTGCTGGTACACATCTGATCTTTTTACCCGAGTCCGCATTGCAACCTTTAGCCTGAACTTGAGCACGAGTGAAGCGCTACTGCTGTCAGAAATGGAGCTTGCCAATTTCTCAACATAGACGGCTTAGGTCAAGAGTCCAAGTGTCAATCAAAAAAACTCATCTAGGGAGACTGCGACATGTGGTAGAAGCCCCGTTTATTTTGCAGAGACGTTGGTGCTAGGAGCCTGCAGCCAAGGCGCCCCTTGCTTGGCTCTGTCACGTCTTGCCTTCACCAAGAACCCTAGTCACAGTGAGCATGACGATCATGAATCATGACAATCCCTATCCGATCGGAATGGTTTCAATTAGACCGAAACAGTACATGCCAGCAGTATTTGAGAGTGCGGCGATCCATCCTCTCGAGCCTGCCTGGGACCAGAAGGTAGCCAAGATGGATGCAGTACTGGAACAATGGAAGGACTTATGGAGGTTTCCTTTGATCTTGGCTTGGCTTCAGACTCAGCCTATCCTGAGGCACCAAGCCAAACGGGATCCCTCGGATGAAAGAGCTGCAGCCGTGGCACGGGTAGTCCTAGTAACAGAGCCAGTAAATCAGCAACAGCAACCGCAACAGTAGCGGCACGAGGCGGAATAATAGTCGTGGTCGTAGTGCTCGCAATAATCGCGGTCGTGTCAGTATTTCTTCCTGTAGCTGTCGTAGTAGCAGTAGTAGTTTTCGGCTCCCACTTGTCAGCGTCCGGAGACTCTGCTCTGCAGGCAACACGTTGACTATGACTACGCGACCCTCCACTGCCCGAATCAACAAAACACGACTGCAACACTCAGCGAAAACCGTAAAAGTAGTAGTAGTAGTCGTCGTCGTCGTCGTAGCAGTAGCAGTAGCAGTAGCAGTAGCAGTAGCAGTAGCAGTAGCAGTAGCAGTAGCAGTAGCAGTAGCAGTATAGTAGCAGTAGCAGCAGTAGCAGCAGTAGCAGCAGTACTGCAGTATTAGCAGTAGTAGCAGTAGTAGGCAGTAGAAGGCAGTAGTACCACTGCTGCGGCTGCTACTACTACTACGACTGTAGTAGTAGTCGTCGTCGTAGTAGTAGTAGTAGCAGCAGCCGCAGCAGTGGTAGAAGTAGTAGAACAAATACAAGTCGTAGGAAACTACTTCTACTGCTACTGATCATAACCAGCGATACTGATTAATACTAGCTATAACTATACGACTACTACTACTAGTACTACTACTGCTGCTACTGCTACTGCTGCTGCTGCTACTGCTACTGCTACTGCTACTGCTACTGCTACTGCTACTGCTACTGCTACTGCTACTGCTACTGCTGCTGCTGCTGCTGCTGCTGCTGCTGCTACTGCTACTGCTACTGCTACTGCTACTGCTTCTGCTTCTGCTTCTGCTACTGCTACTGCTACTGCTACTACTACTAAATACCAATAATAATCATAATTTTACTACTATTATGACTAAACCACTGCTACTACTACTACTACTACTACTAAAGACGACTACTCCTGCTACTGCTACTGCTACTGGCTACTGGCTACTGGCTACTTGCTACTTGCTACTGCGACTGCTACTCTGCTGCTACTACAGCTACTACTTACCACCACCAGTACTACGACTCCGACGCACCGCGCGTTACGGGCGTCTATGCGCGGCATGACAATCGGATGCAAGTTGTATGGTATGTCCTGCGATTGCGGTGAGAGGCAAGTCACACATTGCCCGTTGCCCCAAGCACATCTCGGAGACTCGATGCTTGCATTCTTGCCCAACATGGGGAAGCACGCTCCCAGGTGCATCGACTGCATTGCAAAGGACATCGTGCAACATGTTCTACACATGCGTGCGCCAAAATACCACGTCTGCCCGCTGAAGGCAAACCAAGATCATGGTCCGCTCGTCGAACCGTGAGCAGCAGAGGTCGGGGCTGTGGTCGCGAAAAACACGTCCGGATGCGTTGTCTTGACATGCGATGCGAAAGGATGCAGAAGCGTACGTGCGCCGGCTACAGGAGAAGGACTTCCTGAAACCGTTCAACCGTTGTTTAAACAGCACGCAAAAGATGGACTTGTCAGGAACAAAGCGTGAGCAGAAGTCCAGCGGCAAAGACCAGGATCGTCCGGGTTTTCTGTTTGTTCGATGCACCCGGCACGCTTGCAATAAGCACATGCCGGTCCTGGACTTCTCGGTGTTTCGGGGTCACACTGCTGCACCTGCTACAAGCACAATGCACAGACATTTTTTTGGCGAAAGGCTGCTCTGCTTCCAGCTTTGTATAGGGACTATGCACCCGCAGCGCTTCTTGGAGCAAAAATATGCCTGTGACGCAGCGCCTGCGGCGCTGCGCTGCGGTAGGGCAAAACTTTCTCTCCACGAGAAAGTTATCACTTGTCACCGGCAGCAATGTAGTGTGACTGTGCCGCACATATAGACATGTCGGGGTGTCTTTGCCTATGCTATAGAGAACCAGCAGGTCGATGTTTAAAACAGTGTCAGGTTCGGGAGGCAAGTACTTGCTGCACATCAGGGACACACTGGAGGCTGTGGAAGCGTTGTGGCAATGGTGCTCCAAGGCGACTTACAACCTCGTTTGCAGCGCCAGTCTTTAGCCCCCATTCCACACCCCTTACCCCAAGCTGCAGTCCCCACAAGCTGGCGGCGCGGGCTCCATACTAAATAATAGAACCAGTACTATAGTACTAATTCCAGCACTAATACCGGTAATGGGGATGGGGAGAGTGGAGGGGAGAGTGGGGACAGGTTGGCCGATGTGAATGTCCACGCAGACCACGCAGCATGATGGGTGCACTATATGCTGTAGTTTGTGGGAATTGCAGGGTGTCTTTCGGGCTTCACTAAGCTCCCTGGACTCCCAGGGTACCGGTGCCGCGAAGCGGCTGGTCACATGCAGCGGTTGTCGAGGTGTCTGACAGAAAAGCCATCGGATGGTTTGTCCTTAGATTCGGAAGGTCGAACATGCATCGTTTAAGCATGGCTCTGCTGGGCTAGGTGGGCCTCAACAAATCAACCAGTACCCACGTTGGCCATCCTCGGCACTGAAAACCATGACGACTTCGGGAAAAGGATCCAGGGCGGACTTGCTCGCCGTGAGCTACAAACAGTCAAAGAGAGCTGCACTTCAGTCGTATCTTGATGCCCCTTGCCCCTCGCAGCCGAAACTATCTGAAAGCAAGCAGTTCCTCAGCTCCTCAGCTGCGATTGGGAGGCTGCCTGACTCCCGAAACAGGAGTTGGCAGGAAGTTCCGCTGCCTGGCACTCTTGCTCAGAGAAGTAGGGAAGACAAGTATGAACTCGATCAGTGTCGAAAAAGCTGCATCTGCGTTCCTGCCTGCTTGCTGTGGGACGCTTTTTTGTACCATCTGTCTTTTGGACATAGATGCGGGGCCGGAAGTATGACGGCTGACTCACGAAGTTTGCCAACCCTGTGCGCGCACATGTCAGGCACCTAAGTGGTGGCTGAATATTATGTGGTGGTACTGCCGATTCACTTCAGTACACACTTCCTCTGGGATCCTGCTGAGCCTTCACGATAGCAATTTTGTGAACCCTCGAGCACTCGACTGCATCTGTAGAACATGCAGGTTGCCAGGAAGACACCACACTTCTTGACACATCTGCTAGCTTGTATCCTGTTCATCGAGCACCCAGCGTTGCAGCCGATGGCATTGTCTACTGTACCCCAACTGAATCATGAGGCCCATTGCGACGGGTCTGCTTCAGCGTCCCGGTGATGCAATTTGTGATATCTACAATTACAAAGATCAGACAATAGAACCGCAACCTGCGTCTTGACTCAACAGCCGGAGCACGTGGACAAAGCTGTCGCAGAGTCTTCCGGCAAAAGCGCTAGTTGCGTCTGGTGCCTCAGCCAAGACCCGTCAAAGTTGGGTAAGAACGTTGAGCTGAAAGCCTAAAAGGCCATGCCTGAGCTTCAACAGCCTTGGAATCCTGGGGAGCTCCGGTGCTGAAACTAATATTTACTTGTTCACCATGGACCACACAGGAAGTCTCAGGATCATCTATGAATCTAAGATCAGAAAACGTTGACATGATATGAACCCATGCAGCTTGTTGCCTTCAAGCTGTGCGCCCTGTCGGTGTGAAGGCACCATACCGGGCAAGCTCGTTGATCAGTTCTAGGCAATCTGAAGGGCCCATCCTTCAAAGATTTCACTGCCACGAGGAAATGCTGATCAAAGCTGCAAACCATGAACCGCTTTTGCCGAGGTTCCTATGATGAAGGTCAGCCTGAACAGCTGGAGGCATCTGGCCGGGCCAGTCATGCCACTGCCTAGATTTGGTCTTTTGCTTTGTTTCAGGACCAAAGTTTGCGAGACACGAGGGACTCGATGCCCCGGCAGGCCCCCTCAAACCAACCGGAAGTTCTGGCCAAAACAACTTGAAGCAAAGGCCCGTGAAAACCGCATTCCTCCGAGGGGCTCCTGTGTATCTTGCCTGACTGCCTGGCCCAGGATGCGGATGTCAACAGTAGTTGTTTACGCTCTCGCAACTCGGCAACAGCCAAACGAGCTCTCTCGCTTCGCATTCACACCACTACTAAGGTTCAGATCGCCTCCACAAAGTTTGGGGCTTCTTGTTTTGCCCAGACAGCGTAGCTGTCATTTCTGGTGTCAAAACGACGACGACTTGCTACTAACTGCGACAATCAGCACCACCCTTGTGCTGCTGCTGCTGCTGCTGCTGCTGCTGCTGCTGCTGCTGCTGCTGCTGCTGCTGCTGTTCCACTTCTGCTAGTTAATTCACAGCTAACTATGGCATACTTGTTCTTCGCTGCTTTCTCGTTGCGGCTGTCTGCTGGCTTAAAAAACTTGCTGCTGCTGCTCCTCCTCCTCCTACCGCTACCCGTACCCCTACCCCAGCCCCTGCCCCTGCCCCTACCCCTACCGCATTCTGCCGCGCTGCCCTAACCCTGACCGCGACCCCCATGCCTACCCCTATCCGACTACCAGTGCCACTGCCACTGCCACTACTACCACCACCACCACCACCGCCACCACCAACTACGAGAACGACGACTACGACTGGTTACTACCACGGCTACTGTTACGGCTACAGCCACAGCAACAGCAACTATTAACACTGCTACTACTACGACGACGACGATGTCACTGTGTGGCTATGACGCGGCTGTGATGTTGCCAGACCGCCCGATGGCACAGTCATGGTCCATCCTTGCTGCGAGTATGTAAACCGGCAACGGCATTTCTGCAATAGGCTCCGACTCCACCCGAAAACCATGCAGACCATGAACCCAGGACGGTGCCCTTCTCGGTCAACCCTCGAACCCTCAAGGCAAATGAAACGAGGCTGTTTCAGCAGGCAGCACAGCCCATACCATACCCTGTCGAAGGCTGAAGGGTCCTCCAAAAGAGCCTGCAGCCCGGCCCACCTGAACCTGCTGCATCGGATGCTGCGGCAGTGGCCGCTGCCCCTGCTGTTGCTGCTGTTGCTGCTGCTGCTGCAGCTGCTGCAGCTGCATTTGCTGCTGTTGTTTCAGCTGTTGAAGCTGCAACTGCTGCTGTCGCTGCAGCTGCTGCTGTTGCTGCAAATGCTGTTGTTGCAGCTGCTCCTGCTGCTGTTGCCTGTCAGGGCGTGATACAGGTCGCACAGGGTGTCAATTAAGATCCCTCGTTCCATGCCTGGCATCGGGGCATCGGGGTCTTCTGTTGCAGTGTTGCACTGAGATGACTCTCCGACCTACAAGTACCAGTGCGCCACTCCCCATGCATGTTACTGTTAAGCCGCCCGTGATGCATTCAGGTGGGTTGTACCTACATGCCATCACATTGCAAAAACTTTGCACAAAGCATGCTGTGCAGCCGAAGGGCCAAACAACTGCAGCCTGCTGCTCTGCGAGAAAATTCGGCGGCGGTGGCCTTGCTTGTAATGTGCTTTGGGAATTGACAGAATGCACCATGCCTTTAAACTTACAGAAACAATCGCAGTAACTGATGCATTGACCCGGGCTTTGTGCCTAGGCACTCTCATGGAAATCCATGAATGCCTAAGAACCACGCCATCTGCGATGCTTCCAAGTTAGTCTTGCGACACCTCACGGATTTACGCCCGACGCAAAGGGTAAGTTTTAAATTGTCGACCGCAGTTCGAAACAGCTTTCGTTGGGTCAGCATGGCATAGCTATAATGAGCGTTTCATCCGTCGCTCTGATTCGACCCTTTGATCTGTAAAGCTCGGACGGTGTGCCTAAAACTGTCGCTAAGCTTCCAGATGTCAAGGGTCAACAGCTTCCCGGCAACTCTCATACCAACCGCACGCGAACTCAGCATTTTGAGCTACTTCCCTTGGCCTGGAGCCGAGTCGCTGATGGGCTGGAAGCACAGGCGTTTGCATGTTCCATCCTGGCTGCTGCCTGGGCCCGCTTTGCCAGGCTGTGGCATCAAACTTAGCACCACGGCCTCCCAAAGCCCAGCAGAAGGAGCTGCAACTGCAGTCATCCAGAGTCATCCACTTGGAGCTTGGCATTCTAGTTGCTTCTGTTCTTGCGTTATTTCGGCCTGATACATGAGGAAATTCGGAGTGCTATCGGCTGGATGCTCTAAAAGTCGGATGTCGAGGTACCTGAACCTTGAAAGCAGCCCCGGAGGCTGCATGCCCACGCTTACCGGGTTACCACCAATTGCCGTTAATGACAACCATGCCAAGCCGGCAAGCCAATCAAACTGGAAACAAATCCATGCACCCACCCCACCCGTGCTCTTCTTGCCGAGAAGCTCAGGCGGAAAATCCGCTGCTTGCAGCATTCGTTGTTGTTGAAACTGAGGTGCCGGCAAATGCGGCCTGAGGATCTGAAAACACCCGCTTTCTCAACAAGAAGGACTTGTTTTTGTTGACCTACGTCTTGCCAGCAAACCAGGCTTCTCCTGCATGTGCCTACAAGTACCCAGACAAAAAACACTCGCGCACCATCCTCATCGTGTGTGCACGATGAACGGCTGTGGATCGGGACAAGCCTTATATGTAGTTCTCAGTACCTGGCCTGGCGGCCTGGCGGTAGTTCTATCCAATGGTCTAGCACTACCGGTTTTTCCATGATAAGTTTCCATCGCCCGTATCCTCTTTCTGATTGCGACCCGGGAAGTTAAGCGCCAGACTGCAAGTTGCTCAGGAGGGGGCATGTGAATTCAGGCGTATGCACTCCACACGTGTTTGCAGAGGTCGGTGTCCATGCGTATGTGCGTACATATAATATAATACCATGCAATATAACATAATATAACATAATATAACATAATATAACATAATATAACATAACATAATGTAATACATATACACATGCATACATACATACTTTTGCAGAGTTTACTGATATCTATATCTATACATGAACTGATATTGGCTTATTGAAATACGGGAGCTGATTGAGATTGGCGCAAGAGGAAGACCATTAGTCGGCCTCATACCTGCCATCCAGCTTGCACTCACCATCCGGGGCTCTTGCGTGCACAGCGTCTCAAGCCCCCCAGAAGAAATAAGTCAATATGTGTGCGTGTACGCATGCATGCAGTGTACTGCATGCGAATATTTGTACGTGCATCTGTACATACAGATATTTTGGGAATCACCTGATTAGGACCCATCAGAATGGCCCCGCAGAGACAGATGTAATTAATTAGGTGCTGCCACAGAACGGAGCGGCTTGCTGTAGTGGCCATCCCTGCCTGGAGGCTCAGGGCTTACGCGTCTTCCCGGGGGGGGGTCTCAGCCCCCAAGTCCTGCCCTGAAGACCTGCATGCATCAGATAGCTCCAAAACCTTGGAACGTGATACCCTGGCCGACTGCTGCCCTAGACAATCAGCTCAGGCCGCTGAAGTGGCCTTCACCAAGCTTGCATGCGTCTTATCTGGGCGCGTGCTCTCCGCCGACAAAGACTTGCTCAGTGCCGGAACTTTGGAACCGAAGCCAGTTCACAAGAGACTTCGACTCGCACGCTCGCAAAGCAGGCCGCACGGATCCAAGCGACAGGTCTGAGCTCAAGCTTACTACAGGAACAGCTGCCACAGACTTGGGGCACAGTATCGTGATATCTGCATGGCGAAGTAACAATCGTTGGACCCAGGATTTCCCATTTAGACAACCGGAGGAGTTGCATGAAAAAGGCCATATCTACCAAAACTGGTTTTGGCCAGGTCGCGTCGCAGCCATTAGGGAGTTGTTGGCAACCTGCGATCTCCACAAATTCCGCCTGCAGCATTGCTGAAAGGCTCGTGCGTATGGGTACGTAACCGGCACAACCAAGAACAGCATCGTGAATTACCCTGCAGAAAAACTTGGGTCTGTGTGTGATGTTTGCTGACCGGGCTGTCTCGCAAAGGCAAAGGTGCCTGTTTCAAGCCTCTCAAACATCTGCCCTCTGCCCGACTGTTTGCAGAACACACACGTGTGTAGATAAGTGTATACGTGTATGTATGCATGCATGTCTTCACCAATGAATGTGTGCATGTATGTATATGTATATGTATATGTGTATGTATATGTGTATGCTTGCCTGCGTACATGCATGCATATTTGGATGATAAACAGGTGTCTTTGTATATAACATATACATGTGTATATGAATATAAACTGAATAAACAAATATACAGATATGTGCAGACATATACAAAATGTATGTGTATAGTGTACATACAGAAACACACACACACACACACATATATATATATATATGTATACATGTATCAAAGTCTGTATAGAGATAGAGAGTGATATATATATATATGTATGTATATATATATATATATATGTATGTATATGTGTGTAGAGAGAGAGAGAGAGACGTAGATGTGCGTAGGTGTGCATATCTATATATATATATCTATATATATATATATATATATGTATGTACACACATTGGCATACTGCGTCTTCGTATATTTCTTGATTCTGTGTGTGTGTGTGTGTGTTCTGCCCCATTGCCGCACCCGGATTTGCCCTGGGCAGCTCCTGCACCGAGCTGTGTTCCTCCACAGCTCGAAATGGTTGATGCAACCCTTTGACGCCGGCCGGTTCATGATATGCTTGCGACAATTTATAGCAAAACTGGGAACGATACAGATGTGCTGTCTGGAAATATGCCATCGGGAGCCTGCCGATGGCATTAACCTGGTCCCAGATCCTTGGCGAGAACCAGGCTCGAAGCCAAAAACTCAAACTGATGTTCGCAACCCGCAACCTACCTATATGAGCTACAGACGACACATCCGTTCTGGGATGTTGTGAGATTGCGGTTGAGAAGGCCATAGAAGCCACACTTCAGCCAAGCAGACACAAACAGTAGGGTAGCTACGCATCTATGCAAACTGTGGCCTGAATCGGGATGCATCGGGACGCAATGCCGCAGGCTTGAAAGCCTGTACACTCTTTACAGACGCGACGCAGACTAGCCACCAAGTGGTGCAAGTCGACTGTAGGATTCGAGGTCTCAGCCCAAGCGTACAAGCGGAGATGATACAATGAGCGGCAAAAAGCGGTGGAAAAAAAGCTTTATGACAAGTTCTCACATATCCTCACGATCGTCATGTGCGTCTTCTTCATTGTCCTCACTGTCACCATGACAATCATCATCGCCATCACCACAACCGCCGTTATCAACACAATGATGACAACAAACTCGTAAGTCGTAAGTGCGCTTTTCATTGTCTCATACCACCCACAAATCCGCCGCTGCCAAGAGGCACGGCATTGTTGACCATCTGTGCTGAACATGCCGTGCTCCTGTGGTGCATAGGGGCTCAGATGCGGGAGCCGTGAACGAAGCCTGACTCCTCAAACGACTTGATGGTACGCTATGCGGAAAACCCGCCACTGGCAACCTGGGCTTCAATGACAATGGATACCGCTACCGCCAGGCCAGAGTAAGCTGAGTAGGCCTGTCAAGAATCCGTGAAACTGCAGCCGGCGGCAACAATTCGGCGCTGACCAAACATGGCACAAGCATGTTGCATGCAAACCTGCACAGCCATCTGCTCCCTTCCCTGTCCGGCATCCACCGTAGCCACACTTGCCTTACATATGCACCCCTACGTCAATCCGCAGTAGATGATTTCCTGGTCAAGAAGCATGGCTTCACGATGAACCTGAATATGAAACTCAAAAAACCTGGTGACTGGGCATTACGTCATGAGTCATTAGAAGTCATAGTAAGTCATATGAATTGGCACGAACAGCGATCTTCGTGTTAGTGGTTAGCCTAAGGCCACCGTGGATGCCTCACCTCGCCATCCTCTCGTATGGAAGTCGTCGAGGTATAAGGCCGATCGCCTACCCTGTTCTCCTTGTCTAAGTGAAGCCCTGAGCTCCTCTCCAGCCGAAGTCCGAGGGAGGGCTCCGTCTGGACGAGGGACTGGAGGTAGGGCAGCTCCTGATGGGCTTCATGTTTTGTGCCTTTGAGGCTAGTTTTTTGCAGGAAGGAGACTACGTCGCAGGCTTTCTTGGACGTGTCGGCTCAACCCGGGGTCAGGATTCTCCACGGCAGCTCTCCGAAACCAACGCAGCAGTCAGAATGGTTGAGGTCCCGAAGCTCCGGTACTGCCAAAGCGGCCCGAAACTCACACCCCAGCACTCTCCACTTAATGGAGACTCAGCATATCTCAGTAGTGCATAATACATATGTACGACACCTGCTGCACGCCTAAAACTATCCTCAAGCCCAGAAATCCTCCCCGGGGTTCGGGGTCAGGTGGACCCTGAAGCCTCAATGCGGCCACGGGGCCCAGCCGCCCGGATCGAAGCCTATAAAAGCATAGCCTCGATTCTCTTGATGCGAGTTCCTGGCTGCACGGTAACAAGGGGGCTTCTTTGCCTGTTTTCAGCGGGTTGGCTTGTCGCCTCAAGCACGGCAGAGAGCAGATTTGCAGAAGCACCAGAAGTAGGAACCAAGTAAAACCGAATGACCAGTGTAGTTTCAAGACTTGGCCTTTCAGGTATGATGCCAAGCAGACTACCGACATGCCGGTCGGAAAGCTACTTCCAGTGCTGCTTCTTCAGGCCCACAGAATCCATCTACGTCGAACTGTCTTGACCCAAAACAACAGCACATAACAGCACCTCATGGCATCGGATCTGAGTTCTTTGTACATACAATCCCTCGGCCCGGCCTGATAGAAGGGACGTACCAAAAAACTGGCACTGGGACTCCGATCTGGAAGAGGAGGCTCACGACCTCCATCCTGGGCCGTTTTTGGGCGGGGCTGTGGCGCGGCGCTATGCCTGAACGCGACTGTCCCGTGCACGCCTCTACACGGAGCAGCCCGGGAAAAGGGACCCTGAGTGAAATCCTTATAAAGACAACGGCAAAGCCCCTGTATTTAGATACACGCAAAATATACCGGCGGCTGCCTCGCAACTGCTCAGGCTGATGCGCTTCAATCAGTGCTTGAACACACTGCTGGCCGAGCCACTCCGTCAACTTCGGCGGAATGCCGCGCATCAGATAAATGTCATGCCCTGCCACAACCGGCGCCGCGCCCGATAACTTGCTTTGGACTTTTTTGGGATTCTGGGGAACATGCCTCAAGCCTGGAGCACTTCGGGATCAGAAATGGCACAAGCATGCATACGTACCCAGTCATGCATGTGTATACCCAATAACCAAAGCATACCATACCATGCCATGCCATGTCCTTCCATGCCCTGCATGCCCGCCATACCTTACCATACTGTAACATTACATGGCATTACATCACATTGGATTGCATTACAGGTACATTGCACTGCATTACATCATGTTACATTGCACTAAGTGCATGAGAATATACAGCTAGTACATTGATGGGTGATGGGTCGATACACTTTTACATGTTTTTAAAGTATTTGTATATATCATATATAGATATATATGTATGTATATATACATACACACATTATATACATGTACCATTGGAAAGACCCAGTACTTTGTATGATGTCTGTTGAAGCTAAGCACAGAAGCATAAAACATATGATGTAAATTATGCTAACGGTGTAGGTCCCGTACAGTCCGCAATCGGGCACGGTCTGCTAGTCAAAGGCCTTACAACTCAAACCCTCGTTGCCTGAAGGCCTCGGCCCTCATAAAAACGCTTACGGGCACTCTGCGGCCTTGATCCATCTGAACTCGCCACTTTTGCCGCGCGGCACCTCTGAAACGACGGGGTCACAGAAATCACGAGTAAGACATTCCTGACTTGTGAAACTGACGGCTCTTGAGCAGTCTTTTCCTATTGCTCTAGCTTTTGCTCTTGCGGTGGCTCGAGGCTTCGTCCTTTTGGGTAGTCGATGCGAACTTGAAACGAAGGCTGAGAGAGTCTTGAGGACTTGCGGCGCAAATACCTGGAACCTCGCTTACAATTACATGAAACGGTGTAGAAGCCCAACACAAACCTCCAAAGATCCGTGGCCATGCCCTCACAAAACAGGGTCTCACGGAGCAATAGCCTCTCCCCCGTGTCACCTCGTCAATAGAAGAAACTGTTCTCCACCGCCAACCTTGGCACCGTCAAGAACTTCGATGGGCTACCGGGCACTGTCTGAGCATCTCTTTGCTTACGTACTACAGCACATGGGTTACTACCGCTACCGTGCAGGACCGGCTTGCAGATCCCCGCTGTGCCGCTTTGCATTCTGACCGGTGGATGCCTCTGTGGTCGAGTACACGGCGGAAACCCAGAGCGCTACATCCAGCACGCACAAGATCAGAGAGGTTCACAAGCCTATCATGTCGATGTGTCAAAGAAACGTAGGATCTGTTTTTGGTCCTAGCAGAGCAGACCCAGACCTCAGTTCGATATCAACTCTGGGACCACGCAAGGCTCTTCATGACTAGAACTCGGAAGAAAGAACATTCACAAAAAAGTCGATCTTGCAGCCACAAGGCCAAATCAAAAGAGGGCCAAACGGGCCCCTCACCCTCAAACCTGCAAGCATAGAAACGCAGCTTCTCCTCAAAGAGGCCCTCTTGCAACTCGGAGCTGAAGCAACCCAGGAGCGAAGACAGGCCCGCGGCCTGTGGCCTGGTTTCTGTCGAAAACTGAGCACGCTCGCCCGCCTTGGCAGTGTCTGACAAGCCTTACCCAGACGACGGCAAACAAAGATGAAGGAACACAGCCCAAATTTCAATCTTGACCACTACCTAACTACCCGCGGAGCTACTGAGGCTTGGCGCTGGAGAACCTTTCAAAGCAGCGAGGCAATACTCCTCAAGCCCCAAATCCCTAAACTTTCAAACTCTTCGTCATGCAATGCAAGGGACACGCCAAAAAACGGAGTTTATCGAAGGATCACTTCCTGAGCGACTCGGCGCTTCGGGTCAAGCTGCATTTGGCCGGGTTGTCCAAAACTTCGGGTGGTTTCAGGTACCTCCCCTGGATAGAGCAGGGGTTCCGTGCGAACAACTCGACTCATTTCTACTAGTCACTAGGTCACTAGGTGATGCAATAAAGCATCACCGGATGAGAAAACTCACCTGTGGCCTCCGTTCTGACTGCAAGGCACGCTGGTACAGTCATGGTCACAGTCAGGCTGGATTGCACCACAGGACAGATCCCGACTGAGACCGACTGACCCAAGCTGCACATTTCTTGGCTCACCTGTGCTCCGAACCCCTGTCCCCAGAATCCGAAGGGCAGAGTTCTTACATTCGTCCCTTTCAACAAGAAAGCCCTCTTTGAGCGACTGGCTCAACGAAGTTCTCGCCCTCCACAAATTCTGCGAGCCTCGGCTAAGTCCGGCTCTTGATGGATGTACATTGTTTTTGCTTCTCGCTGTTTCGATTGAACGCTGAGGATGTTCGGAACACGACATTGTCGAGCCAGACGCCCAATGAGGTCTCTCGCCATCTCTGTCGTTCTTTCTGTCTTTCCTCCCCCTCTCTCTCTGCAGGCTGGAAGGGCGAGCTAAGGCAGATAAGCCAAGCCTGATGTACAACTCCAAGCCGGTTGCTCGATGCAGCTGCGAAACTCTGGGGCCACACGCTGTATTCGAGGCGGTAAGTGACGTGGCATTGGAACAGTGAACAGCTGCAGCGAAATGGATGCATTGTGGTCTTGCTGGCTTTAACGCCAGCAGGCTTCAACTTAGAACCCCAAGTCAGACGCAGATGCCCAAGCCGCCCAAATGCCGATCACTAACCTGTCAAACCCGTGGCGCCGCTGAAACTCGAGAGGTGACCCGCAAAGCTCCGAAACCCTGGACTGGACAGCGACAATGGATCTCAGAAGTGTATCTGGAACGCGGTAGCAAACCCCGAAAGCTCCGGCCTGAGATCCCAACTCAGGCCGCAAACCCGGAGTGTGTCAAAGGCGTATTGCAGCAACGGATTTTGCAGCAAATGCCTCTGCCTTTGAGAGGCCTCGCGAGCCGGACGCTCCGACGTCCGACGAATTTCGTCTACCATCTGACAACAAAGGAAAAGACCCGCTGAACAGCCTCTGGAGCTCGACATGTTGCAGAAGTATATTGACTCCCTTGAATGATGGAGAAACGATGAGATCTAACATCTAAACCTACGCAACGGGAACCGCTCAGAATGCAAAGCAGGGCTTTCCTCCTTCAATACGGAAATGTTTTCTGCGTCATCAGAATGTAGAAGTCCTGTCAGGTAGCCAGTGCTCCCCAATATGTCAGAAGAACTCCTCTAACAAGCCAACTCAAGCATTGTAGAAACTTTGTAGCTGGTTCTGGCAATCAGCTTGGCCACAACTTCCGCCTTCCAATGCTCACAGTATCAGTTGATATGAGCCATAAGCTGTCCTAAAAGTTCATGTCCTCCGCAGTCACCTCACCATCGCCATCCGCATCGGCTCGTGCGATCATGTCCTGCATAACGATCAAGCTCAGCATGCCACTTTTAATTTTGCAGTTCGGCCCTCATGGTATGGTGCGGTGCGCGGCCTGACCCTCCCCGATTTGCACTGCTTCGAACGGTGAGGTAGGGGAATGCATACCTGCTTCGTCTTTCCGAGATCTCGTGAAATTCTGATACGTTTACAGCAGACCTTAACCACTAACAGTGGCTCTAAACATGCCACAGTCAAGACTTTCATCATCAGTGTCCGCGTCCCCCTTCCCTGTAGAGCCTCCAGGGCTTCGACCGGAAGCTGCTCGCCGAGCTCCCGCGCCACCCGCTGCCTCGAGAGCTTCGCTTGAGGGTGTCTCGACTATCGTAGCTGGAGACAGCCAGTGCTATACGAGTGTATCCTCTCTACACAGAAAGATTAGCATAGGAACCAGCTTAATCGGACCTAGTTGCGTCTGTCTGCTCGGGTCCAAACGATGCTCTGAGTAGGGTAACGAAGGTAACCAAAAACAGGGAAGGTACTAACGGGAACCAGGGCCAAAAGAAAGATGAAACCTGTTGGCACTGCCGTCAATTGCTGCAACGAGATGCACGCAGGGAACGACTCCCACATCTCGATGGGATTTGGGTGTAATGACCGTAAAGTAGTTTAGGACCTATTCATATTCCCTAGCCGGAAGCTCGCCGGAAGCTCGCTACCCCATTAGCCTTGATGGACTCGGTGAAGGAGCACGAAGTCTTGCTTCTCAGTCTCTTTTCGGGAAAGATTCGCTTTCCTGAGCCACCCCTTTAACATGACGACGGGACACAGGTTTCGCAGCGAGATTTTGCCCGTTCGGTCGTCATCGAAGAGTCGGAAGACCTGCACCAAGTGCGGGGATGTGCGGCGTCATGTCTTGGTGTGCGCAGGCGAGGAGGCTTCGAACCTGCCTTGGGGGCCACTCTTTCACAAAACCGATGCCTTGGAGACATCCTCCTTTGTGTCCCGCTCACCCATCTTGGCGGTCATCAAATCCTTTAGGGCTGTGATGCAGGCTTTGCTGCAGGCTCCCTTCGGCAAGAAAAGCCAGACAATGAAGAACTCAACCCACATACCCTCCCCCACACCCTCTGCATTTCCTAACGATGCTAGACTTCAGTCCAGAAAGGCGCCGAAGTCCAGTGGCTTTCCGCCCTGCCTCCAACGGAGCAAGAGCAAGAGGAGATCAGTGCTTCGCACTGTAGCATCAGAGATGCGTCTTCATTCAGACGTTGGACACTTCGGACGAATGCCGCACGAAGCACATGCCACATGTAGGCTAGACGAAAACCGAGAACCGTACATGGACTGTGGCACATCCTCAAGCGCATGTCAACGTCTAGCAGAAGAATGTCGATTCCACACAGTCTAACAGGATTGTCCAGTGCATGTTGTAACACCAGCGTTCTGAAACGGTCGCTCATTGAATTGCTTCCAGTCTGTGGTATCAATAACAGCCTGGATGGATGTACCAGGTGCTTCATTGATCGAAATGATTTGCTTAAAAACATCAAAAAGTGTTCCGTGTACTTGCAGCTCCATTAAATGTTCGTGCAACCGTGGGGACCCCAAAAGTTGATGATCAGGAGCAGCGAAATGGACTTGGAACTCTAACTACGAAGCTGCGTATCTGCAGCGCTGGCGGGCTCATCCTCAAGAGGTATCACAATCTGATCCGTTCCTTCAGCTGAGGGCTACTTGGTGTGCTGGATGATGCTGGATGATGGGTGTGCTGGATGAAGGCAAGTTCCGTTCAGTTCGAGACTTCCTCCAGGTGGCGTTGCACGTTGAAGGTCAGGAGTGTTTGGGCAGCCATTTTCAGCAGCGTGCGGCAGAAGGGTAAATATGCAACAACAGGGGAACCCTTGCTGCAGAATTGAAGGCAACCCAGATTCCGACGGACTTGAGTTCGTCGATTCGGCCAGCCTTTCCAAGTCGTTGAGGATATGGTGAACAACCTGGCAGGAAGGAACCCCTGAATCAAAATCCGGAGCCAGACTGGGCTGGAGTGAACGGGGTCTTCGATGTCGAGGTGCCCTGGCTTGGGCTATGCTTCGACTCGGAACCTCGTCACCGAGGTTGGGCTAGGTCTTTGAGATGTTTGACACCATCTTGCCATGGAGGCCCTCATGGACGCAATGCAGATTTCCAAGGCCTCCGAATGTTGCGGCAGTACAAGATCCCGTACACTGTCCCTACACCCTGTCTCGCGCAGGTGTGGATGTGCGGATTGCCCGCACACACACACACACACACACACACACAGCGCCAACTATTTCTACGACATACTCAGGCTGGCATCCGACGATGCCCCGCCCTCCCCCCGCTCCCACAAATAGAAGACAAGTTCGGCCCGCACACATCTGAAAATTCGAGAACGATGACGATGATTCTGCTGATGTCGATGATGTCGTGGTGTGGTGGGGAGGATGAGCATCTCTGACGGTGGTGGTAGGATGGTGACGGTGGATCGTGGGTAGTGGGTGATGGATAGTGGTGGTGTAGTGGTGCTGCTGCTGGAGCTGGTCACAGCAACGATACGAAGATGTTGACAGCTTCGTACCTCGTCTTATACGGACCACTCGTCTTCTCGTCTCTCGCCACAAAGCTCAACATGGTACGATATTGCCCTAGCTAGTAACGCGTCGGCTGTTGATGTGATACTACTATGGCATGACAGATCTGAGAACCTCCATGACATCAGCTCCCCCCTATGATGCCGTGTTGCTTTCGAACTCTGGCTCTAACATTTGCCTAGACTAGCTCCGGCCTGATTGCGTCGCAGGTTCAGCCTGACAGCCCATGAGCGCAACCATCGCATGAGTAGAAAGAAAAAGTATTGCCCACAAGATGCTACGGACACAACACAACCTGGCTATCGCAATGGAGTAAGAATCAAGGTCGCTGGCCAACATATCGCTCTTCTGCCTGTGTCTCTCAGGATTTCTCATGTCTCCACGTTTGCTGTGTGTCATTCCTCGTCCTTCATCTTTCGGCCTTCTGTTCCGGCCCAGCAGCGACTGTACGCAGGCTCTCAGGTCCCGTGGGTTGATCCGCTGGGTTCCATCCACATCGAAGAGGTCGAAAGCCTCTTTGACCTGACAAAACGGCGACAATGAGTTCGAATTTCATGCCAAGTTCGTGAAGAGTTCTAATTAAACGGAATGTTGGAAGAGATGCTACACTGAAACGTGAAAGGCAACAAAATGTCCGTCAAGAGATCGCTTTCAAAGCCTGGGTCGAGAAGTGGGGCCCACTGACACCCTGCACTGCGAGCGGCATGGCCCTAGTTAGCATTGAACACAGAATTTTTCTCCAACACTTGAAGCCCTTCTCTTGCTAAACTAAACCATAAAAACGTCGTCTACCCTGTCGCTTATGTCAGTGTATAGACGTGTGACTCATTGCTCTGATATTGTACTCTGGCTTCGCTGCTACCGCTGATAACTTGTCTGGTATTCATTGAACCGCTCCTAGGGCTTCTTCACGGCGATGTCTGCTGTGTTGGGGAGTTGCTAGAGGTGATGTGCCTGTACCATATTCTGTCTTGCACCGTGGTCATCTCTCATCATGCCTTCGTTCTCCCATCACTTTGGCATCATGCTCATCCTGCGTCGGCACAGTCACAACATCTCAATGTGCTAGTTGTCTCAGACGAGAACGCTGCTGCATCTTGCCACGCTGCGCTGTGTTTCCCGGACTGCAGGAAAACTCGAAACTCTAGTGTAACTCTAGTAACCTCTCAGGCCCCCCCTCGAATCCCACATCCGTCGAAGCCTCCTCGATCTCATCTTGCATCAGCCCCTGTCAGGCCGAGGGGCGTAGAACTCCAGTTGCTCTGGGCCGCCAGGCAGGGTTAAAAGATGGGACAAAAGCAAGAAAGCTGGCTCTAGCAGCTAAAGCGCCGAGCTGCCAAGCCGCAACTCTCACACTCTGTACTGCGAGGCAGAGACAACGACGTGTCTAAAGCAAGTTTACAGCAACTGCCGAATCTCTGGGGCCACGACCAACCATTCTTCAACCAATGTCACCCCGATGAACGTCTCCTACACCGAAATCTTCCAAAGCCTTCAATCGAAACCTCTTGGACATCCAGAGCGAGAAGCCGCTACCGGTCTTGCTTGTTGCATTCATTCTCTGAGATTGCTTGGTACGTTGTCTGCGACTCATTCAACTGCGACTGTGATACTCTTTTCAAACAAAGCTCCTGGGTTTCAGGGCTCTGCGGCTTGATTTTTGGGTTTAGGCACTGGTGAGGACTCTGCAGGACGTGTTACGGACGATGTCAAAAGATTCCAACGTACGAGTCTCGCAGCGTACTATCATAGCATTTTTTATGGTCATAATCTCCTGCCTCTCCTGGCATGATGGTGAGACAGTATACTGCTGTTATTGCTGCTGGTTCTGATGATTATGACGATGGTGATATTGACGACGACGATGAAGAAGAAGATAATGATCATCATGTTTTGCGTCTTCGATCCTGTTTTCTGAGGGTGCGAGTACATGTTTCCTCTTGTGGCCATGATCTCTGGAGCAGTGTCATGACCGTGTCTCGTACTGGGATATCCATGCTGGTCGTCGGTGCCCTGCTGTTGTGTGCAGAAAAAATCTTTGCAGGAGCTGCTTTTATGACCGACCAGGGCTTCAGTAATTTTACGAGGATCGTTTGATTTCTCCTTCGGCACTGGCAGTATGAGCCAAACGGCAAATATGAACGAACGGGAAACATCTGGAAACCCATTCCCACACTCGAACGAGCTCATCTGAATGCAGAACCGCAAAGACGACGCTGACCGACCTACCTGTAGTCCACCCAACTTTGCCGCGGGACCGGGCGCTCGTAGCGCTTCCAGGACCAGCTCTCGCGCGAGGGCCGCCCGGCCATGGCAACTTGGGAGTTTCAGCTCCGCTGATCACGATTAGGAGTCTGTTGTCAGGGGTTGACGGTTGCAGGTTTGGATGCCGACTGCTGCCATCATTGCTCTTTGGGCGACCATTGCGAAGAGATCGACGATTAACAGTGCACAAGATTAACAAGAAAAAGTTCTTGGTTATTGCACTACTGAGTCCTGCTGTCACGCCACGATTCCCGATCTTTCTGATAAACTTGCTTGCTGCAAGTACTTTGGTCGCCATGGCTGAAAGAACACAGCATATTCCGTCCATGCCGTGGTGGGGCTGCAAAGAGAAATCCAGCTGGACCATGGTGGGGGATGAGGGGGAGGGAGGACATGAGTCACGGCCAGTGTGCACTGTGTAGGGAAAGAAGCTGCACTTCTTTTGGCTGCGAGCTTGCGTCTCACGCCCGGACGGTCGCACTGAGCTCCGCTCAAGCTAGACTAGACCCGAACAGAGATCACTGAAAAACGATGGCTATCGCCCAGGTTGCAGCTTCCCGAAACTGAGCAACCCGCAACTTCTCAACTCCTTTAGGAGCAACCGAGAACGAAATACAGAAACGCCTGCCGGCGGCGACATTCAGCCGTTCAGCCTTTCCTGCCAGACGCGTGAAAATTGAGCACCGCCTTTCCACTCTTCAATGTTCCTGCTCAGAAAGCATGGCTTTTGGCTCTCCAGAACAAGAAGAGTGTGCAGATGGCGAAGAAGGCTGATGTAATAATAAACAGAACCGAGCCCACAATTCTGGCAGCCACAAGCGGAAAGAACTGCACAGGAACATGCGTTTCGTAGAAATTGGCCAGAACGACTGCAACAAGCATGCCGGATGGTGCCAGCAACACCGCAAGGCTGAGCAGCAAATCCGTCACCCGATGCGCTTTCCTCATGCGGAGTTTGTAGGCCAAAGCCACACCTAGCAAAACGATGCTAGGTATCGCCATTATCCACCATGCCAGCGCGTCAAAGAAAACCGCCACCCCAGTGATCACGTCATCGGCAATGAGGAGGGTAGCCACTCGATCCAAGAACAGCCACATCACCGGACCGCAGGCCACGACGATTTGCCGGTACAGGTAAAGAGGGCTAGTGAGCTCTCGTAACAGTGTTGTCCTGACATGTCCCCGCACCAAGCGCTCGAAGTCAGTCGTGCTTCCAAACCAGATTCCAATGCATTGCAGCATAATGTCACGGTCACAAGGAATGGGCTCGCCGGTCTCATCGTCCACGTGGTTCACGGTGCAACAATAGCACTTCGCGTCGTCGACTTGGAACTTGCGGAGTTGCTGCTGTAGGGTGTCCAGATTGTAACAGAAGCGACGGCCAATGTGGGCAAGACAGAGGAAACACGGCAAGAGGCCTGCCGATATCCACAATGCCATCACCATGATGCTGGTCCCGTATGCTTGCAAGCTTGGCCATGCGACAAGTAAAACGATCAGGCCAGCCTTCCCGATCAGCAAAACCGGTCCCATCAGGTTTGGTCGAATACTCAGATGCTGGCTTATCGTAGCTTCTTTCGGTCGGCTGCGAAGAAACGATGCTAGCTCGAACACGCACCAGAATCTCCTTCACTGGCTTTCGACCCTTGATACAAGTCAAACTTGGAGGCTCATTACCACAAGCAAATTATAAAACGCAAAGCCGATAACGTCCCATCGCCCAACCCATAAAAGGCCAAGTCTCTGCACCCAACTCGGATCCCACAGCACAAGCATTGATGCGCAGCTCTTCAAGATTGCACCCATGCTGATCATGGCCTCGCCCTTCAAGCTCTCGTGATCTTGGTTTATGCAGAGAAAGTCCAGGAACACAAGCTTCTTCACCCGCCAAACCATGAAGGACAAACAGTAGAAGGTCACCCCAATCAATACGCTCCACTGCGACTTGCAGAAGCCGTTGTCAACGGTGGCAGGCAAAACCCCAACGGCATGTAGGACACAGCCCAGGACGGCGCCGACCATGCCGAAAGCAGCCGCGACAACCCCAGTGTTCAAATACCATGCAGTGACAAACTTCATCCAGGCGGATGTGTGCCAGCTGTGGGACCAAAACTCGTCGATCTCTGTTGTGGCACAGCTGAACTTGTACAGTCCCCGCTGCTTGCCACGCATCGCCTGCCCACAGCCCCGCAAAGCGCAGTGCACAGGGACACCTCGAATGATTTCTGGCCTGGTGGGCTCCATGCTGGCTACCATGTCCACGATCCAGTCGTCGCCGGGCGGGCTCGCTTGTGGTGAACTGGGTGATTTCACAGGACCTGGTGAGGCACACAGCTCGTGGATGTAAATTCCTGCGTCACGCCGGACTTCTTGCTGATAGTCAGGCAGATCGACAACTTGCCCGAGAGTTTGCGGCCCAAGCTCAGGCGACTCTGCCATCGCGCATGCGGCGAGACTAGGAGATTGATTGAGGCGAACGTTTGAGTCACTAAGTCCTCACCCCATGCCCTGAACTCCACAATTGAACTTGGATCGATGGTCACAGTGCAGTCACGGCCTGAACACTTTGATCTCTGAACCCTCATCTGGCCACCCAAGACCCCTAAATGAGGAGCCGGGAACGAAGGCCACGATGTCGAGATGATCGCTGGGGCCGAGAGCTGACGTCATGGATACTCCCCTCGGCTTTCTTAAGCTTCCCAAAGAGCCAGACTCTGGCAATAAGGCGAGATCTGCAAACGCCTGCTCGCTCCACCGAGCGACGCGACCCTCCTGAATCATCGCATTGCCTTATGCTTCGGACCAAAATCAATCTTGTAACCAGGCGGCTTGGCGAAACCCGCTGATTTGATGATCCGAGGGTTCACAGGATGGCGACCGCTGTGTTGACGGCAAAATCCAAGCTGTCACGCACACGATGGCTGGTTTTCGGTTCAAGAGGGTTGCGGTCTTGCCGCTGTCATTCCTGCAGCTGCATTCATGACCAGTTCAAGCTGTAGGCGTCAAGAACTGCCATCAAGCAAGAACATGACATCAATGCAAGCACTACAGCAGTTTTCGAGACTGCACCGACAGGCCAGTTTTAAATGCTGAACCAGGCGGCTACGAAATGCTCCCGGCGTTATAGTCCCACATAGTCTTACGGCGAAAACCAACGGTTCAACATCGAAAGATCCTCTGACTTTTTTCGGCATACCGTTTGCAAAGCTGCTCATGCAGTCCGGCTTCGCCGGTGTGCTTGTGCCAGCGCATACCTTCCAGGCCCGGGCTGTTCTCAAAACTCAGCAACCTGCAGCACACAGCCTTCGCTGTCGAGCAGCCTCAAGACGGATCTCTGCCCGAAACTCTGGACTCTAGACATTCAGCGATGCCTTCCCACTCATCCCTGTTCGTTCGTGGTCAAGAAAAGGCTTACGTGCAGATGGCACGATTCTTCGCCTTCCAGAACAGGTAGAGTGCGGACACGGCCAACAATGCCGACACGATGAAAAAGGCGGCCGAGGCCACGATCCTGCGAACCGGGTAAGGGAGGGAGTAAATGGAAACCAGGTCGAAAGTCATGTAGATAGCAACGAATGCAACCAGCATCCCCGCTGCTGGTAATAAAACCGCAAGGCTGAGCAGAAAATCCGTCACCCAATGCGCTTTCCTCATGCGAAGTTTGTAGGCCACAGCCGTGCCGAGCAAAACGATGCTGGGTATCGCCATTAGCCACCATGCCAGCGCATCAAAGACACCGCAGAATCCACCACTGATGTCATCGGCAGCGAGGAGGGTAGCCACTCGATCCAAGAACAGCCACATCACCGGACTTGAGGCCATGACGATTTGCCGGTACAGGTAAAGAGGGCTAGTGAGCTCTCGTAACAGTGTTGTCCTGACATGTCCCCGCACCAAGCGCTCGAAGTCAGTCGTGCTTCCAAACCAAGTTCCAATGCATTTCAGCAAGATGTCACGGTCGCAAGGAATGGGCTCGCCGGTCTCATCGTCCAGGTGGTTCAGGGTGCAACAATAGCACTTTGCATCGTCGACTTGGAACTTGCCGAGTTGCTGCTGCAGGGTGTCCAAGCTGCAACAGAAGCGACGGCCAATGTAGACAAGACAAAGGAAACATGGCAACAGGCCTGCCGCTATCGTCAATCCCATGATCACACCGAGCAGGATCACACCGCTATCCCGAAACGCTTGCACCAAGTTCGCCCATGCAACAAGTAAAACGATCAGGCCGGCCTTTCCGATCAGCAAAACCGGTCCCATCAGGTTTGGTCGAATACTCAGATGCTGGCTTATCGTAGCTTCTCTCCGTCGGCTGCGAAGAAACGATGCTAGCTCGAACACGCACCAGAATCTCCTTCGCTGGCTTTCGACCCTTGATACAAGTCAAGCTTGGAGGCTCGTTCTTACAAATATTACTAGCAAAGTAGGAAACCAAAACAGTCAACGTCACATCGCCCAATTCGAAAAGAGCCAAGTCTCTGCACCCAACTCGGATCCCACAGCACAAGCATTGATGCGGAGCTCTTCAAGATTGCGCCCATGCTGATCATGGCCTCGCCCTTCAAGCGTTCGTCCTCTTGGTTTATGCAGAGAAAGTCCAGGAACACAAGCTTCCTCACCCGCCAGAACATGAAGGACAAACAGTAGAAGGTCACCCCAATCAATACGCTCCACTGCGACTTGCAGAAGCCGTTGTCAACGGTGGCAGGCAAAATCCCCATGGCGTGCAGGACGCAGCCCAGGACGGCACCCACCATGCCGAAAGCAGCCGCGACAACACCACTGTTCAAATACCATGCAGTGACAAACTTCATCCAGGCAGATGTGTGCCAGCTGTGGGACCAAAACTCGTCGATCTCTGTTGTGGCACAGCTGAACTTGTACAGTCCCCGCTGCTTGCCACGCATCGCCTGCCCACAGCCCCGCAAAGCGCAGTGCACAGGGACACCTCGAATGATTCCTGGCCTGGTGGGCTCCATGCTGGCTACCATGTCCACGATCCACATTCTTGCGTCATGGTCACGCCGGACTTCTTGCAGATAGTCAGGCA